GTCAAGCAGCTACTAGCCATTCTCCCCTCCCCTCAGCCTTCGGGAACCACCAACCTACTTTCTTTCTTTCTCTATGGATTTGTCTATTCTGGACATTTCATATGAATGGGATCAGACAGTATGTGACTTTTTTGTGTCTGGCTTCTTGCACTTAGCATGTTTTCGAGGTTCATCCCTGTGGTAGCCTGTGTCAGAGCTTTTTATTCATTCCTTTTTATGGCTCAATAACATTCCATTGTACGTGTTCACCACAATCTGTTGATGGACATTTGGGTTTCCACCTTTAGGATCAACTCACTTTTTTTTTTTTTTTTTTTTTTTTACTGACATTGATTTTGAAGTAAAACTTTCCATCATGACCATAAAAAATATCGTTTGCCACAAGTTAGAGGTCATCGTTCAAATAAATATAACTAAGAACAATGTCATTACGAGCTGACATATTTTTGTCAGCCCAAGGTGTTGAGCCTGGGGCTTGTTCTCTGTGAGAAATGGAAATCAGCGAGGGACAGAGAGGTATTGAACACACTCCAGACCAGAATCTCCTCCTTGATATCAGCTAGGGGCTGAATAAGAGTGGAGGTGGGAAGACCTTTCTCTCCATGTGACTCAGTGCTGAAATTTTTTGTATCAGTGTACACTTAAAAATCATCCTACACTGGATTAGATCTATAACAGCGCTGATATAGGCATACATATAGCTGATTCACTTCATTGTACAGGAGAAACTAACACAACATTGTAAAGCAATTACACTCCATTAAAAAAAAATACATAACAGCACTGTCCGGTGAAAATATACTGTGAGGCACAAACCACACTGTAATTTAAAATTTCCTAGTAGCTACATTAAAAAGTAAAAAGAGGGAATTCCCTGGCGGTCCTGTGGTTAGGACTCTGCACTTCCACTGCAGGGGGCGCTGGTTCCATCCCTGGTCAGGGAACTAAGATCCCACATGCTTCGCAGCCAAAAATAAAGTAAAAAGAAACAAGTGAAATGAGCTTTTCTGTAATAAGCCAATATATCTATAATGTTACTCCAACATGTAAACAACATAGAATGTTATTAATGAGATACTACATTTTTTTTTTTTTTAATAATAAGCCTTCAGAACCTGGAGTGTATTTTGCGCTGAGAGCTCATTTTGGACCCACCTGCATTTCAAGTGCTCAGTAGCCACACATGGCCACCGGCTCCATAAAGTCCCTTCCAGCTCCAGAATGCTGGGATTCCTCGTCTTCTAGTATTTCCCTCCCTTGCCGGAGCTGTTGCCCTCAGCAATCCGCAGTCCTCACCATTCTCTTGTGTTGCGACACACCCAGGGTGAGGATCACATGGTTACCTGCTCCCCTAGGCTTATCTAGGCCTCAGTCTGAACGCTGAGAAAGGCCCCAGGTTGCCAGCAGTTCCAAGAGCTTACTTCTGACTCCACCCACTCACAGCACAGCTGATCGCAGTTCGAAAGAATGTTATTCTAGGCAACCTTGAACCTGCTCTAGTTTATAAAACACACTTTAACGGACATTAATAATTTTCCTGCCCAGCATCTGTACCTTTTTTCTGGTAACAGAACCCCACACTTCCTTTAAAAGCCACTCCTCCCCCACTCTCAACCTGTGTCATTCGGGTGGGTTTGACTCCCCACTGAGCTAGGAAGGCACATGACCCAGGCCTGAGCCAGAAGCAAAGTCCATCCCCCAGCCACAGTGATGGGTTGGATGGGTTGACAGATGTGGCTGAAGCTGTGAAGATGGACAGGTCTAGAATCTTTACGGACAGCTGGGCAGGGAGACTAGGGACTGTGCCATGGGTCCTGCAAACGAAGCCATCACGGAGGGAAGCAGAGCCAAGAGGTGGTGACTCGGATGCTGTCCTTCGAGCCCCAGGTCTAGCCATGCTGGGATCTCTGTGGTTAGTTGAACAACAAACCGCCCCCACTGTGCATGTGTGTGTCTGTGTGTGTGTGTACACACCCGTTTAAGGCCCTGAGAACTGTTTCCTGTCAGTTACTTGCAACTGATAGAGGCCTAACTAGCAATAAGTCATCTGCACTCTTATCATGAGTGAAAAACACCGTGGCCCACTAGCTACTGAGGGCTGCTGCCTTGTGGTTGAGAACCACCAGCCCAGGGAAGCCTCACGCTACAGGCTGACACCAAGAGCACAAAGCCACAACTCCCCTGCCACCTCTTTCAGGCCCGAGACCCAGCATTTAGGACACTTCTGTCCCTTTGGCAGGACTCACGTTGGCACTTGTGCGTTATCCTCCACCGGGCACCAGGCTGCCACCTCGCATGTGTTCACGGTCTCATTGAACGGCACGCACCTTCCTGTCGCAACTCCTACAGGGGCGAGGGGCACCCAGGTCTATGGGGGTCTCCTACTTTCTACTTTCTGAGGCAGAGTAGAAACTCCACCATGTATCCTATGCAATCAATCTTGAGCTAGTCTAATTCTGGGATTTAGACAGCATCCAGAAATTCAAATTGGAGGAAAAGAGATGTCTAAGTCCTAGCCACGTCACTGCTTTGCCAACTGCAGGGCTGGGGTGATGCAGAGCCACAGGACAGGGCAAGATCTGGGGTGGCTTCTGGGGTGCAGATGACAGAGATAAATGTCAGGGGGGCCCCAGGACCCCAGTCTGGACACCAGGCTCTCCCAGGCTCGTGTGGGGGATGTCTCCATCCTGGGGATTTCCCTCTGAGAGGGGGTCCACGGGGGAGGCAGTTTGGTCGGGGGCTGCCCTCCCCAGGCTAAGCATCTACTGTGGAGTCACAGCCACAGGTTTGTACCATTGCTGTGGGTGCTTGCAGAGCCAGCAGTACAGTTGGCATCGGATTCACACACGGTGGTCTCATCTGGAATCTGGAAAAAGAAGAACCAGTGAAAACAGGTTTCACATGGCCTCGTCCCACCCACAGTGGGACAGGCACAGAGAGGTGGGTATGAGACCCGAGGCTCTTCCCCAAGAAGCTGCCTACCTCAGGACAGAGGCCCTGGGTCTGGTTCATGGTGACGATCATGTTGGTCATGATGAAGAGGGAGTTTTCCTCCTGTAAAGCAGGCAGAGGGGAGAGAGTGCTGCATACTACCTGCAGAGGAGCCAGGCAGAGCCACAGGGAAGGCCCTTTACTAGGACAGTGCCTTCACTTCCCCCCTGTGCCATGCAGAAAACAGTTAAAAACACTGATCTTAGGGTCTCCCATTCTCACCGATGAGAGTTATAACCTAACTGAAAACAGGGACTCCAATACTTGCACACATGTTCACAGCAGCACCATTCACAATAGCGTAAAGGTGGAAACAACTCAGTGTCTATCAACGGATGGATGGATAAACAAATTGTGGTCCATACCCGTAAGGGAATATGACTCAGCCATAAAAAGGAATGAAGCACAGACCTGGCTACAATGTGGATGAACCTCAAAAACATGATGCTGGGTCCAAGAAGCCAGACACAAAAGGCCACGTAGCGTATGATCCCATTGATGTGAAATGTACAGGATAGGCAAATCCAGGAACAGAAAGTAGATTAGTGGTTGTGAGGGGGTGAGGGAGAAGGTGGACAAGGGGATGATAGCTTAATGAGTGGGGGCTTTCCTTTTAGACTGACGAAAATGTTCTGGAACTAGACTGACGTGATGGTACACAACATCGTGAATGTGCTAAATGCCACTGGAGTTTTCATTCTGAACTGGTTAATACTGTGATACATGAATTTCACCTCAGGTTAAAAAAACATGTCTATACCCTGAAATGGTTCCTTAATAAAGCTTGACTTGAGGGAAAAGAGTCAATAAGTGCTCAGTATATCCTCTGCCAACCGGATTACCTCACAGGCGCAGAAACACAAGACCTCAAAGGTCTCAAGTTAGGCTGGTTCTCTTTCCTAACAGGAACTAAAATAAATACATAAAACATTCTATACAGAAGGCCCAATCAGGGCTCGCCATTGACACTTCTCCTTTTTTTTTCTTTATTTTATTTTTGTTTGTGTTGGGTCTTCGTTGCTGCGCGTGGGCTTTCTCTAATTGCGGTGAGCAGGGGCTACTCTTGGCTATGGTGCACGGGCTTCTCACTGCAGTGGCTTCTCTTGTTGCGGAGCATGGGCTCTAGGCGCGCGGGCTTCAGTAGTTGTGGCTCGCAGGCTCTAGAGCGCAGGCTCAGTAGTTGTGGCGCACGGGCTTAGTTGCTCTGCAGCATGTGGGATCTTCCCGGACCAGGGCTTGAACCCTGGTGCATTGGCAGACGGATTCTTAACCACTGCACTACCAGGGAAGCCTGACACTTCTCCTTTTGAAAAGGTTCTGTTTTCTCCTCCTAAGTGTGAAGGTGCCAAATGGTTGATTTAAAGTTTCTGGAGAGCAATTCACTTGGGGATGAGACTGAAGAATTGCTAACAGTGACCTCCCAGTATAAGGAAAAAAAGACAAAAACCCTGCAAATTCTAGTTGGACCTCCTCCTTATTGGGCGCTGGTGCTCTAAAATGAAATGCTCTGAACATTTCATACTCCTGAGAAGAGCAGTCAGTGCTGGGAGCCATCAGGGAAACTCAGGGACCAAAGGGTCTGTAGACATCTCCACTCCCAGGTCTGATAAGGTGGTAGACGCTCTGGGAATAGTTGGCATCTTTCAAAGACAGACCTGGAACAAAGCATGTTGGGAAATGAGGAAATGGCCGCAGGAGGGGGCATGAGAATGTGGCAGGAGGCCCGGGTCAGGCGCCCCAGCAGGCTCCCGTGTTCCATATGTAGACACACTGCTTGCTTGGTGTTTACAGAAGGCTGTTCCTGCGTCTCTCTGGAGTTAGACCTGAACAAGTCAGTGTGGTTTACTTTTTGTTTCCTATTTCTTATCTATTTTAAGTTTAGGGAAATTTCAGTCTGGAGATGAGCCGAGTAGATGCGGTGCAAATACATGTTTGTGTTCCATCTTTGGAGGAGCAGGATATCGTGAAAGCTCATGAAGAGAGCCGTGTGGGACTCACACGGCCCCCGGCTCCGATCCGAGATGGAAGGCAGAGCTGCTGTGTGCTCCTTTCCACTGAGGGGCAGAAGCAGGGGGCCGTACGCTTCTGTGGGTCCAGTAAACAGACGGAGTGTGATATTCCGAGCCTGCCAGGACGAGGCCGTGGCTTCGTAGGAAGCAGAGGTCTCTCTGTAGAGACAGGTGCATGCCAACAGCACCAGCTTCCTCCAGCAAACTATGAATCCCCTGTTCCATTTGACCTTTATGGCTTATTAGCTCTGATTTCTCTCTGGGCACCCCACAAGAACCTTCTCTTAAGGCAGAGGGAAAATGAACACACTTGAAGAGAGAGTTTCTGAAGTCCTTGCTCTGAGCCAAGAGCTGGCAGCTTATCTGCATGTGGCCACCCCAGTCACCCTAGCACGTGGGCCATCTGGAGGGATATGTGGGGTTTGACTGTGGATCAGAGCCATTATCATGGTTAAAGAGAGTCAATATTTAACTTGGAGCTTTGTGGATTAACAGACGGGAGACTAGGATGCTGCATCAAACAATTTCTTCCCTCCCCTGTGTTCCTGATGGAATCCTATATGGGTATGGCTGTTTCCTTCTTCTTTGGCTTTGGGTCTCTACGGGCTGTTAAAGTTTGTACGCTGTCTGAAAAGATTTACCTTGTGGGTTTACAACAGTAAAGCAAACCACAAAATGTGGATAGGTGATAGTTCCACCTGCATTTTTCCCAGGATTTAAAACGTGTGCTTTTCTACTTTTCAAGTCCGGTGACAGACACAGATGTCCATATGGAAAGCTTCCTCTGTTTAAGCCAGCCATGTTTTAGGGCTGAAGAAACGTAGCTGATTGAATATTACCTGTTAGACCCTAAGCCAAAAAGAGGTCTGTCTGCACTGCTTTCTTGGACTAAAACAGTCAGTCTGGGCATTGGTGATGTTAGAACTCTGGGCATGCCAATCACTAATCAAGAGTGCAAAGGTGAAGGGAAAGCAGCTAACTAGAGGCTTGAGCTTTCGACAGAGACACAGTGGGAGGCTTACCTGAGCTGGAATCACATAATCGGCCACATCCCAGATCCGGAATCCAAGTTTAGAAGTATTGGTCGTGGTTACACCCTTGGCTTTGGCAGTAACAGAGCTGACCACAGAGTCCATTTCCTGGTAGCCCTTTTCCCACACAAACACCCAGCTACAAAATAAAACGGGTCTCTTAAATTGCCATTAGGATTGCATGAATTTGAATTAATGCTAGGGAGCCTCTGGTAGCCAGAGGCTGAAAGTATGATGTTTACTAGTTGTGACTTTGCAAAAGCTGCTTAACTTTGTAACTTAGTGCAGTGATCAGCACAAAGAAAATGCTCAGTGAATGCTGTCTTTATTACTAGGTATTTGAACACTTTCAATGCACTATGACCCGCAGAATTACCATGAGATAATAGAAATTATGATAATGATAGTTACCATTTGAATGTCTTTAGGTGCCAGGTACTGATCTAAGCTCTTTATATGTATTAACTAATTTAATACTGACCACTTTATAAGGCAGGTGTCATTATTCTTCTCCATTTTACAGAGGAGAAAACTGTAATTCAGAGAGGTTAAGTCACTTGCCCAAGGTCACACAGCTAGTGAATGGCAGAGTCAGCATTTGAACTCAAGCTTTTTGCTTTCGAAGTCTCCTTTCTTGCCCTCTATGCTATATATGCCCTCTAGAAAGGAGAATCATATCTTTTAAGTAAATGTATAATAGTTTCTTACTTTTTCTCTAAGAATTCAGGTCACATGTATGTTTCTCTCCTCTGAAGTGGAGACTTCACTACCAGCCTGAATCATTAAAAATCTGAAGGCATTGGTGCATAGTGGTTAGGACACTGGAACAGACTGAAGCCAGCCTATCTCAGTTCATCACTCACTAGGCATAAATTTGGCCAAGCTGCTTAACCTCTCTGTGCCTGTTTTTCCCATCTATACAACGGGAATGATAACAAGACTTCACAGGATTGTTGTGAGGTTACATGAGTTAATGCATGTCAAATGCTTGGAACAATGTTTGTGAGCCATTATCAGCAGACTGAAATTGGCCACAATGGGAGCATTTACACCGTGGAAATTGGCCAGTACTACAAATCAGAACTCCTCCCCATCAGAGCTGTTGTTAAACATCAATAGTGACTACTATTGTTGTAATTTCTAGAGTCAAGAAATACTACTAGCATCCCTCTCCCCTCCTTATAAGCTCTACGTGCTGAGACTTCAGAAATTTGCTTATTTGGTTACTTATTGTCTGAGTAGTCTCCAAGTTCACTACCCATCTTAGAGATGGGCTTTTTCCCTAAGAAGTCCTCTTCTTCAGGGTTTCTAGGAATTCAGCTGCAGTATAAGCTTCCATTTAATTCTAGTCAGACACAGAGAAGCTTAGAGCAGGGTCACTATTACTTTACCACCAAGTATAGTCATCCCTTGGTATCCATAGGGGATTGGTTCCAGGACCCCTGGGGATACCAAAAACCACGGATGCACAAGACCCTTATATAAAATGGCATAGTATTTGCATGTAACCTATGCACATCCTCCCCTATACTTTAAATCATCTCTAGGTTACCTATAATATCTAATACAAAGTAAATGCCATGTAAATAGTTGTAAATACAATGTAAATGCTATGTAAAAATAGTTGCTGGCAAGTGACAAATTCAAGTTTTGCTTTCTGGAACTTTCTGGAATTTTTTTTTTAATATCTTTTATCTATGGTTGGTTGAATCTGTGGCTGCAGAACCTGAGGATACAGAGGGCTGACTGGATAGTGAGTTGCTAAGTCAGAGACACATGGTTTCATCTCAATCACTATGTAAATAACTATTACCTCATCCTGTGACTGATAATACAATTAGATAACTGAGAAGTGTTCAGTCTCTCTTTTTTTTTTTTTTTGGCCATGCAGCACACAGGATCTTAGTTCCCCGACCAGGGATTGAACCCATGCCCTCTGCATTGGAAGTGCAGAGTCTTAACCACTGGACCACCAGGAAAGTCCTGTTCAGTCTCTTTTTGAGGAAGGATTACCTTTGATCAGTACTGGAAAAGAGACCACAATTTCACCAAGATGAATTGAATCAGAAAGTTAAGAGATGAGGTTTTCTAAAATTTTTCTTAAAAGCCCTAAATTCAGATCCTGAGTCAGATCTGATCACAGCAAGATGTATAAAAGCAAAGCATTTACTGCTTAAAAAATCCTCATGATCAAGGCAGACAACACTCCATAGGAATCCTATAAAGCTGCACTGCCCAACAGAAATACAACGCGAATCGTGTAATTTCAACATTTCTCGTAGCCATGTTAAAAATTAAAAAGTAACAGGTAAAATTAATTTCAATGATATGTTTTATGTAACTCAACATATCCAATATATGTTAATGCTATCAATATAAGATGTATTAATATGATATTTAATTGTTTTTTGTACTATGTCCTCGAAATCTGGCGTGCATTGTACAGTGATTGCACATCTCAATTTGGAGTAGGGGTGTTTCAAATGCTCAACAGTTTCATGTGACTCCTGGCTACCATACTGCAGATATACTGTATGCAGTCTAGAACTTTACAGATACCCTAGATACCTAGAAGTAGATGTAAACTGATTCTCCTACGAGCAGCAAAAGCCAAAAGGAAAAAGCTGCCTGACAGCTCCTGATTCCAAATGCTTCAGGTCCAACCCAGCAATATGAGTTTAGTTAACCAGCTTGTAGTGGGTCTCGAAGTTTAAGGGTGCATCACAATCACTGGGGGGCAAGGAGTTGGTTGTGATGGTACTTAATGTGACTTAGAGTCCAAACCTGGGGGTAGGCCAGGTGGTTCTGATGCAGAGTTCATACCTGGAAAGCCCTTTTACTGACTACTGTCAGTACCTACTGCTGCTGCGCTGATAGATGGTAGAAGCCAAACCTGCCAGATCATGGGGATTCCCTTAGGCAGTGTTAACAGATTCCAAGTCCCACCCCAGGGTGGGGGGGGGGAGGGGGGATGGTGTCCTGTTACCTTTAAACAATTCCTCAGATGAGTCCTTCATGTTCAGGTAGGTTTGGGAAACACTAGGACACTGGTTCCCAAAATTTGCTGCACATTAGAATCACCTGGGGAGTTGGTCATACTCTACAGCACTTGAATCAGAAAGTCTGGGTCTGAGAGCCAGCAGTCAGTATTTTTTAAAGATTCTCAAATAGCTCTATGTGCAGTTTGGGGAACACTGTATTAGGCCTTTTAAGAAAAACAAAAACAAACAACCCCCCCCCCACGATGCAGCAGGTAACATCTGTCAGCTCAGCAGCTGTAGACACCATAACACCCCAGGTGAACCTTGAAAGCAGGCCCAGTTGGTAAATCAATTTCCACCTCCTCTCGAGTTTTATTACATTGTAAGGGTGCATCAATTAAAATTAAGCACTAGGTGAGGACTGATGATGGAGGGACATATAAGCAAAGAGGGCAGCATGCGGAACGATAAGTCTAAAGCAGGTGCCTATACCAAAAACTCCAACAATCCCATAAAAGGAAGGAACTGAACTTAAGTGATTTTTGAAAGTGTGACCTCTCTATTATCTTGGGTTACCATATGATGCTCAAAGGAAAGGACAGGAAGCCACAGACCCAAAAGGAACCAAGTGGAAATCCCAAACCTTGGTTTCTGTCAGCAGATCATCAGAATGGGAAGTGAAGAGCAAAGAGTGAGTCATTTAGGGCAAAGCCCTCCCACCCCCAGCCAAAGGACATCATGGAGCAAGTCAGAAGGGACAGGAAGCATGAATGGCGAGGATGAAGATCTAGCTAGGCTTTGCCTTCAAGACACAACATCAAAGCAGCCTCTGGACCCAGAGCTGGCACAGAGCCCGTCCCTCTGGTGGCTAGGGTCGGGGGTGGAGGGTTGGGGGAGTAGGGATGTATCCCTGGCTTCGGGCCGCTGTCCCCTGGACCCCACCTGGAGGGCGCTCGCGGGGCTCGGCCGAGGACCTAGGCCAGAATGAGCAGGTGCGTGGCCGGGACCCAGAAGGGGGAGTTCCCGGCCGTCGGATCACACCCTGTTCCCGGGACCCCTCAGGGTCGTCGCCCGCGGCCGCGCTCACCCGATGACGTAGGCCAGGATGAGCAGCTGCACCGCCCTGTTCATGAGCCCCACTTTACGGCTGCGGATGAGCACGATGCGCGGCGTGTCGTACTCGAACAGGAAGGCCGCCAGCACCGCGCAGCAGCCCGCCATGGCTAGCGCTCCGCCGCCGCCGCGCCGCCCGGTTCCGCGCTCTGGACCCGGTAGCCTGACCCGCCGCCGCTTCCCCGCACTGGAGCCCCGCCCGGCGTGGCCGTTCGTGGGGGAGGGCCCGGAAGGAGGCGGTGCTGACTCTCGGGGGACTGGGCCGGGCGAAAGGCGTGACCTCCCCCTCGGGTACGAGTGCCGCGCCGCCTCAGGAGGGCTGGGGGAGAGCGACCCCCTCGGAGGGAATGGGGCCTGGGGGAGGGGGTGACCTCGTTGGGAACGAATGACCCCCTCTGGAGAGGGACGGGGGAATAATGACCCTCCCCCCCAGAGGGACTGGTGGAACGAGCGACTCCCCCCTCAAGGGGGGTGGGCTCTACGGGGATGGGATGACCTCTCCTTCAGGAACGAATGACCCCATGAGGAGGACCAGGGAGGACCGGTGACGCTCAGGGGAGATAGAGCCCTCAAGGAGAGAGTGACCTCCCCCTTGGGAAGGAGATACCCCTCCCAGGGGCGGGAGGGGTAATGAGCGACCCCCGTGGGTGTCTAGGAGTGAGCTGGGGGCGGGGTGGGGCGAAGCGAGGCGCTGGGGGCAGCTTAGGGGAAAGAGCAGCCTCTCTCCTGCAGGCTCCAATGGGGGGCAGCGCTGCCTTCTCGCTGCAGGAGGGAAAGCCTAAATATCCGGTACCCTAGGGACCCTTGGCTGGAGCCACACACGCTGCAAAATAGCCCTCTTAGAATTGAAGCTAGGTCACATACCTACTCCCATTCCGATGCTTCCTTAGTTGTAGGACGGGAGGAAGCAGCCTGAGCCTGGTGAGGGATTTCTGTGACCATCCTTTGAACTGAGGAAGTTTTATCACAACTTTAGGGAGAATTGGAAAATAGAGGGAAAGTGGAGGAAACACCCACAGTTGCACCACCTGAACATAATTTTCCACGTGTGTTCATTCCCTTCAGGTATGTTATCATAGGTATGTTTTATATTTAGTTTCATTCATTCATTCAACAAGTGTTAATAAACACCTTCCGTACCAGGCACTGTCTAGTGAACAGAACAAACCCAAACATTCTGCCTTCATGGAGTATAAATTCTAGCAGATAATCGTGTATACGTTTTTAATTTGTAAGCATAGTCAGTGATGGTACTTTTCAATTCCTGATCCACACTACATGTTTTCCATGTTACTGCAGACTTGTCATAATGATGATTTTTAATCGATGGATTGTTTCTTCAGTTAGGGATGATTTCCTTAACCGCTGTCATCTGATTGCTTCTAGTTTGTGGATCCTATGCATAATCTTTAACACACCATTTTAGGTCTTTTCCCGGAAGTGAGATTCCTAAGCCACACCACCTTGTTTTTACAAATATAAAAAGGTGAATAATAATAAAATTTGAGGAAGACAGTATCTGCTTCTGGAGATGGACTTGTCATGTTAACAGGAGGAATAGAGCTGCCACCTTCCTCAGTTCAAAATGGTCCCAGGAAAAGGTGGTGACAGTTTAAGTGGGATTTTATTCATTCTTTGACAGGTATTTACTGAGTGCCTGTTGTGTGCTTAACAGTGTTCTAGATGCTAGGCATATGAGGGTGAACAGACAGATAAAGTGTCTGCCAAAATGGAGCTTTGTGTAATTGGGGGGACTTAAATTCTATGTAGAAAAGAAAAACCCAGTCACTAAATTCTCATTGGAAAGAAACTTAAAAATACATTTCCTTAAGAGTCAAAACACATTTACAGCTCTCGTGAATACTTACCCCATAGTAATGAGATGGTCCTGGCCTTACAGATCTTGAATTTAAATGGTTTGTTTGTGTTTTTGAACAAAGTCAGTTAAGAGAAATGTACAAATAAAAGTTTTTGTTAGTGCCTAGTTGGTAGTGTAACCTTAGGCCCAACCAGAGAAGCTGATCCTGAAAAATGATTAGGAAAAAAAAAATTGTTTCATTTACACTCTTGCCCTGAGTTTATCTCTTTAAAAACAGCTCTCTTGAGGCATAATTGACATACAGTAAACTGCACATATTTAAATTATACAATTTTATAAGTTTGACATAGGTACACACCCATGAAACCATCAGCACAATTAAGATAGTGAATATATCCAGTGCACTAGCTAGAGTAATCTTAGTTTATAAAGTAAAAGTGACTGCTGATTACAGTTGGGATTTTTCACATAATCTTTTTTTTTTTTTGCAACACAAGTCAATCTTTATTGAAAATTGCAGTATTAATACATAACAATTCTTGTTAAAATAAACGTGCTTTTAAGCATTTTAAGTCTGAGCTTATCTACTCATCAGATTGCATTAAAAAATAGCATGAATTTACACGTAATGTAATTGGCTCAGGATGGATGTTCCTTTGTATTGATTGACACCTGGAGTTCAGTGCAGAGGTGAGGGGTGCCTTTAACACTGGAAGACAATGCTGGCTTAAGTTTTAAAAAAGTACTATGAGAATGGTCTAAAAAAAAAAAAAGCGGTATTCAAAATTCATTTAAAAAAAAAAAAAAGAACCATTTCCTAGTCAGTAACAGTGGCTCCCTGGGGTCTCTCTTGAGTGGCCATCACAGTAACCCCACCAGGAACACATGAGAGCTGGCCTCAGGTCCAGCCCAATTATTCTGCTGACTACTGGTCTCCACGAGGAGCTATAGGAGACTCCAATAGGGCTCAGGAGACCAAGATAAGACACTTGTCATCTCCAGCACACCAATCCTGGGAGCACAGCATCCCCTGAAGCTCACTGCAGGCTCCCTGCACGGAGATGCCAGCCTCTCCTTGGTCTCCCTGTCCCAAGTGACTTGACATTGGTCCTGGGGATTCAAATAAGATTACTCCAGAGGTTTTCTGTTCTTCAAGTGAATAGGGTGGGAAAAGAGGCAAATCCTCTGAAACATGTAAGATCAACTCTGCAACTTTCTATCTGAAAAGATCAGACCCTCCTCTGCAGCGTGTCCTCTGCAGGCTCCTTTCAGAAAGCTCAGGTTGAGCAATAAACAGCTCAGGAGAAAAAAACACACCATCATTTGAAACGTACTAGAGAGGAGAGTCACACAGTCCACCCTTCCCCTATGCCAACCACTCCTTTCTAGAGACACACCCCGTCCTTAGAAAGCACCAAGAGAATAACCAGAAGCTGTACCCCACCTCAAGCCCCACACCCTTAAGCCTGCCCTTGCACGGCCAGAAGATGTCAGACAGGTGTCCTGTCCCATCTGGGCAATGCCCAGGCTGACAAGAACTGGGGCGTCCAGCTGTTAGCTGCCAGATAGGGAGAAGGTGACCCAACTGGTCGGAGTAATACTCTTTCCAAATGTTTACAAAGGACAGGTGAAGAATTCTGAGTTTCCTTCTTAAAAAGCAGGCCCCAATACTGATGCGTCTGGTGCCTGCCATCCTTTCTCCACCTGCTGGCAGGACAGCACTACCAGAGATTAGTATATCCCAAGCCCCAAGAATCTATTTCCTCTTGTTTGAAGTGCTGATACCAGCAGATGGAGTGAGGCACTGCATGCCCAGCTTGGGAAGGGCAGGGCGAGTACCAAGTACCAACCAGGTGTCCAGCCCATGGCCCAGGACCACCCTCAGCTCCTGTAAATACTACGTTTGCATAGCACTCAAGAAACAGAGTCATATAATACAACTGGTAGGCCTAATAACTAAACCAACAAGAATGTTGAGAAAAGATCAAACACAAGAGACAAAAGATTCTGGAAGCGCTTCTGTGCTTATCACCACCATGGCCCTGGCCCTGATGCTGGCCTCAGTTCTCAGAGGCAGCAAGCTGATGGGACCATCACTCATCGTGAAACGTTCAGTCACCTGACCCAGATCCAAACAGAGTTTCCCTAAGCAGAGAAACATACCTTCTAAACCTTAGGGGAAGGCTGTAGAACAAAATTTTTTAAAAATGTCTATGATGATATCTATGTTTATAGGAATTAGTTCCTTTATTTGCCTGTCTCAGCTTCTAAAATAACTGTAATTTAGCTGAAAGACTCTCAAGTTAGGAATGTCACATATAAAAAATGCAAAATTTCTCTGAATGTTCTATTGTGCTTAGGATATCAAATTATGCAACTTTATAACAGAAGCTGTATTCCTTAATTTTACTGGAACTAAATGCTGCTAAAATTACAACATATGATAGTTTTGTTACTATTCATTATATCCAGATTCTTACCTGCTAGACAAGATCTACCTTTCACATTTGATAACTGATGCCCCGATAGTTTCAAAATTGAAAAGATCTCCACACAGATGTATTCCATAATGCAAAAGTATTTGTTGAAGTCTCCCAACTCAACTTCACAAAAGGGAAACAAGATTTTTTTAGAAATTACAGGGGGGAAAGTGTTTATAAAGCTGATATAAATGGGGAGAAAACGCAACCCACTCTTTTCTTTCTCTTGAAAACACCATTTAATTCAGTGCTCGTGAAAACATTCACCCTGTGTGTGCCAAGTCTCAGGCAAGCTGGAAGAAACAGCCTATATAATTTCTCATAACTTCCTCCTGAATTCAAATGACTCCAACCCTTGCAGGTAGTCGCATGTGTGTATCTGTTTATGTGCAGTCTGTTTGGGACTTTTAAAAAACATATACTAAAATCATATTTTCTCCTAACTTATTATACTAAACTGGGGAAACCAGCTTCTCTGTTACTGGATCAGTTCAGGCCCTGGAGAACATATCGATATTACAAACCGCCCACTACACAGGTGGAATTACCAACAAAGAGTTGAAGAAGTGGACACTGTGCCTGGGGTAAATGGCTGCCACACACACACACACACGAATACACACAAAGGTAGGTTAAGTGCTCTTGAAGCAATTTAAAGTACTTATTAGTAAACACACTATGTTATAGACATTAGAAATAAATCTTCTGTTTACAATGATCCATGCAAACATCTTATTCCTTATAAAATAAGATGTGAAAAATAAAATTATGAAGAGCACTCACTATAAAAAATAAGGTTACCAAAGGCTCAGGGGTCAGGTATCCCACTCACCATCCGGGGCTGAATGCCACCCCAGTGCCGGAGCCCTGACCAGCTGCCGGAGCTGTAAGGAAAGTAAGGTGCCCTCCCCACCTGAGGCCCACAGCGCTTGAAATGACGTTGGGGTGACAGACCGCTGACAGACCGCTGAAAGGGAACAACCCTCACCCCCCACCCCCTCTGACTTCATCTGAGGACAGACCCACACACACACACCCATCGATACAAGTTGGGCACATTTAGTCAAAAAATCCTCTTGGTTTCTTATGTACAATATTCAGATTTTAAACACAAAATCCTTTCTGTAATAAGTTCTGGCAGGCAAACACGTTCTGATGCTGCCTGGCCCTTTGCTGTCCACACGTGCTTTGTGCTGAGTGTCCCCAGCCGCAAGAAGATATGGCCAAAGGGGCTCACAGACAACAGGCGCCAGCCCTTTCCTCACACCTCCCCACAGCCATCTCCACGAGCGCCCTCCAGATGGTCTCAGAGGACAAGTCCCCATCGAGTGCATGGGCCGAAACACAGCCACAGCCCTGCCTCTCTACAAGGAACAATCAATATCCAATAAAGTTTTGTTCCCTTTTAAAAGTTCTTAAATATACAACTTTCTTCATAACACACAGCTGAATGAAGTCTTTGCCCTTCCTTGTGGGAGGGAGAACAACAATGCCTACATATGTTTTCAGGTGACTCAGACATTTCCCCCGAGGGGGCGGGGGAAAGGAATGATTTTTCTAAGCTAAATAAAGGAGAGGCCAATACCTCCTCCAAGTGCGGCTGGTTCTCTTTCACATATCTTCCATCCCAGGAAAATAATTTCGCTCTACATAGGACTTTTCCATTAAACATATAGAAAGCATCATCTCTATCTGTAAGAGATTTGTAATGAAAATTTAGATAGAGAACATTGCTTTGCTGATACATAAACCACCTTTTGTCCCTAACTGGATTTATGGTAATCCCTAAGGACGTCCACATCACACTGACCCCACAAGCCTAAATGGAGAGAAAGCCATTAACCTGGCTGCACCCCAAGCAGCGGTGGCCTCCCCACACTCTCCCTGTCCCTGCAACTCTCTCCCAGTGCAGTCCGTGCAAAAGGAACAGATGGGTGGAAAGTAGAAGTCCATGTTTCCAATTGGCAACCCACGTCAACACCAAAAGGCTGAAGAATCATCAAAGAGATTTCAGATGCTCTATGAAGAAATTCACTTTAACACTTATAACTTTAAAACTTTGCATACATTACAAGAGTGCATTGATTATACAAGTTGTAAAATACTTTTCCATTCCTTTGGATTTTGCATATGATGGTTCTGCATCAGTCACTGCAGGTAGATGGAACAAGCTTTGTTTTTGTGTTGTTTTTTTTTAAACATGCATTCAGCTAGATATGATTCAGAATAGATTAATACTCCCATTTTTTCATTACAGTTAGCTAAAAAATTGCCTGGCAGCCCACCAAACAGGATTTGCTTTAAGACCAACCCACAGAGTCAGTTGGAGACTGAGGGCGCTGGGACCTGCTGCGCCGGCCGTAGTAGTGTTTAGCTAAGTATCGAGAGCATTAAGAACAAAGTCCTGGTTGGAGGCCCAAGGCCTGCAGCACCAGCTGTGGAACCTCCAAGATGTGACTGCACAGCTCCATCCGAAAACGTTTGCAGGGTGATCACCACTGAGGGGCCACATAGCTGTAGGTGGGTGTTCCTGGGGCCCGATAAGTGGGCACAGTGATGGGGTGGGGGGGCGACAGGAGTTGGGGAGTGGGCGGACAGTCAGCAAGGTAGCCGCTGACATGGCTATAGTGGTCCCCGCCACCGTGCCCATGGTGACCCCGTTGCCTCTAGGCAGAGGGATGGGAGCAGGGGACACCGTCGCTGGCATGCTGTTGGGCTGCACCACTGTGCTGTGGTGGATGACGTGACGGGGCTGCATACAGGGGCTGGGGGTAGAGCGTGCGCGCTCTGCTGGGGGTAGGCACTTCGCTAGGGGTGTCCAGCGGTCTGGTAGGGGTTGGGGAGGAGGAGTACGGTGGCACCGCCCCGCTGGTGGGGGAACAGGACACTTTGTAAGGTGTGCCAGGAGTGTAACCTGTTTGGAAGGTAGGATTCGCTCCAGAGTACGTGTTGGGGGAATAGGCAGGAGCTGCTGCGTAACCCATGGGGAAACCAGCTGGATATCCAATTTCTTTGGCATTTGCATAGGGAACCGCAGAAGAACCCGGGCTATAAACAGGATTCATGATTTGAAGAACGCGCCGCGGCGGCGGCCTGGGCCTCGGTGACCAGCGCTCGCCGGCCCGGGGCGGGCTCGGCGAGGGGCGCGCGCCGCGGAGGCCTGCTCCGATGCGCGGCTGAGCCGCGAGGCCCAGGTTGCCGCCGCCGCCTCCCCGGTCCGCGTTCCCCCTCGCCCGGCTCGGCCCGGCCCGCCTCTTCGCAGCCCGCGCTCCCTGCCGACGCTGCGCAGTCGC